TCTCTTCTCTTCTCTTCTCTTCTCTTCTCTTCTCTTCTCTTCTCTTCACTAGACTAGCCAGGCCCAGTTCCTGCAACCGTTCATCGTATGTTTTAGTCTCTAGTCCCCTCATCATCCTGGTTCCTCTTCTCTGCACTTTTTCTAGAGTCTCAACATCTTTTTTTTATAGCGGGGTAACTAAAACTGGATGCAGTACTCTAGGTGTGGTCTTACTAAGGCTTTATAAAGTAGTGCGAACACTTCACTTCAGCTTTGCCCATCCATGCTGGGACTTCTGCAAGGAGGTTAAAAAAAGATCAAGACAGGGATGCAATCTTGAAGAGAATATAGAAATGGAATAATAAAATAGAATATAGAAATAAAAATAGAATAGAATAGAATAGAATAGAATAGAATAGAATAGAATAGAATAGAATAGAATAGAATAGAATAGAATAGAAATAGAATAGAATAGTAAAATGGAATAGAATAAAATAGAGTAGAATATAGAAATAGAAATAGAAATAGAAGAGAATAAGAATAATAGGATAGGATAGGTTAGGATAGAATAAAATAGAATATAATAGAATTTAGAATTAGAATAGAATAGAATATAGAAATAGAATAGAATATAGAAATAGAAATGTAGAATATAGAAATAGAAATAGAAATAGAAGAGAATAAGAATAGTAGGATAGGATAGGTTAGGATAGAATAAAATAGAATATAGAATTAGAATTAGAATAGAATATAGAAATATAGAATATAGAAATAGAACAGAATAAAAGAGAACAACTTTATTGTCACTTTGAATGTACATTGATCGGCATACATTAAAGTAAAATTTCCTTGCCTACAGTTCTCAAAGGGTCACCCACCTGCAATGTACACTACGTGAACATGACAAAATAAATAAACAATTACAAAATTATGTGTATATACCCACATATATGACACCGAGAAACAACACAAACTACTGTAGTTTGGATGTATTCAATACACGTACATGGCGAGAAAAACGAACCTTGCAAGTTTAACTGGGTTATTTTCCTCTCCATCCCTCCACCCCCTTTAAAGTTTCCAAAGATTTGGTGCACCTGCTGGACCCAAAGCCTCTTGTCCCATCGTTAATTCAGTGCTTAGACAGGTGGGCGGATAGAACTGAGCTTCTGAAAGTGCCCTGTTGAGTCTCTGCCTCGTTGGAAACTTTGCTGGCATTGTCTTTTAACGGTTCCCACCTCTAGGTTGCACCCTCCCCACAATATTAAATAGGCAGAAGCTGCCCCATGGAGGGGCAG